AATGCTTTCATGAAATGTCTGGCTTTCAGCAAAGTGAATGGTCAGTAAATCTATCTGGAAGATTTTCTTGTAAAATAATCTGGATATGTGAGCCTAGTTACTGGATCTAAGCCAATGATGTTGGAGGCTGTGTACTGAGTTAACTGTTTTAGCTTTGAAACGGGTGGTCTGATGTGTTTGGACAACTATTCTATTAATCTAGAATTCAAAGTCATGTGGTGGTTCTGGTTTTATTAGAACTGGGATTTTATATTTAATTCAGACAATTTAACCTGAAACTAATTCTTTTTTTAAAATTTTTTCCCATAATTTTATTGAGAAACAAATAGCAATGAGACAGTTTCAAACCAAATTGAAACTAACTTTTACTCAGAAGCAAAACATGAGAAATCACTGAAGCCTGCAAACATTCTTTTAAAAGCAAGGTTTATTTTTTCTAATTTCGCAAATGTATATTATAAGCAACTCAGAAAATAAGAAAAATTTAGATTACATTTTTCCCAATTATTTATTTTGAAAAGTTTCAAATCAGCTGCTGTTTATATCTTAAGTGACTCCAAACAACTGTGTCCTGTGGCTTGGCACCCAGGGTGGGGATACTGGAAGGTGAAGCCTTTAACAGGCACACGTCTTCAGGTCAATAAGGGTGTATCCTTGAAGGGTATTGTGGGACACTGGTCCCTTCCTTGTTTCTTGGCCATAAACTGAGAGGTTTTTCTCTGCAACACAGTCCTATCATAACGTACTGCCTTGCCACAGGCCTAAAACAAGGCTAATTGATTTTGGACTGAAACTGCAGGCTAATAGAAACTTACTTTTTTACTTCATAAGGTGATAATCATAGGTATTTTGTTGTAGTAATGGAAAGTTGAGTAACACACCAACGAATACAGATATGCAGGCCAACCCACTCAGTTGCACATGCTAAGTCAACAGATTTACTCAGAGCTTCTTGGCAGACAATGTGAAAAGGAACAGTCAGCCACTTATGCAATCTACACTGCCTATAAGGAGAAATACATCTGTTACTCAAGAGTAGCCACATCTGTTTATGACTTCAAACTCATAGAGAAAACTTGTGTTCATATAAGGAGCACAGAGTGATATCACATACAACCCTAGAATAAATGCACTGGTGAGTTCTGTAAGCTCTGTTTTCTAGACTCCCTCAGCATAGGCAAAGGGCACATGGTATGATCATAGCATTGTGGAGGCTTAGAGCACAGATTCCAGAATTTAGCTTCATGGACTTGAATCTTGGCTCCATCATTTATCCTCTGGCCCTGATAATAACCTTTGTGGTGGTTGATACATTGTGTCAACTTGAGAAATTGGAAGCTTGGCTGGATGGGCTCAGCCAGACAGTGGGCCTGCCCTAGAGTGACTCAGCACAAAAGGGATTTAAAAGCAAGTTGAGGAAGGATTCTGCGCTTCCTCAGAGCTCAATCTTCTCCACCCTGCCACTTCCTCTGAGGAGTTCTAGTCGCAGTCAGCATGGAAGCAAGGGCAGCTCTTCCTCCAAGGAGCCCTGGTCTTTGCAGACAAAGGAAGCTTGCTAGACACTGCAGCTGCTGCTTCTCCCTTTACTCTTTGTTGTTTTACAACTCCATGAACTGTTGCCCTCTGCCATGTGCCAGTCTGCTTTGGAGCCGGTGTAGTATGAACTAAAACTTCCACTAACTAGAAACTAAATAAACCTTTCCTTTCTTTTTTTCTTTTTTTCTTTTCTTTTTTTTTTTTTTTTTGCGGTACCAGGGATTGAACTCAGGCCCTTGCACTTGCCTGGCAAGCACTTATTCTACTGAGATATCTCCCCAGCTCCTTTCCTAATTTTGGGTGTCTGGTATTTTGTCCTAGCAACGAGTGAAAAGTAACTGAGACAACCTTCCTGTGTGACTCAGCTTCCTGATTTATAAACATTCATTAATACTAGTATTTGCTCTTTGTTATAAGGCTTGAGCTAATACCCATAACACACTTAAACATAGAAGACAGATAAGGCATGCAGTAAGCATCATTACTACAAATGCCACAGTGCAGGTATACTATGTAACAGTACATAAGAAGGGCACTTAAATCAACTAAGGATCCCAGGGAGTGTGCTCTGGAGACAGGACACCTGTGCTGGGTCTAATTCTCAGTTCACTCCTTCACTGCATTCAACTTGGGAAAATTATCTAAAATTTTCACCTCATCTACTAAAACTAAGATGGTAGTAGCACAAAAAGCTAATAGTCACGAAATTAAGTGAGATAACATATGAGGATTAAATAAGAAATTTACCAAAGCACAAGCATTTATAACAGTGAATGCAATTACTCTTGGCTATGGTAGAAAAATGAATTACTGCTGCAGCCAAAGTTTTAGTGTTCATTGTGTCCAGTTAAATGACTTTAGAAACAGTTGTGTATCGGCATTCTTACCTGGAAGGAATCTAAAGGCTTAACGTAAACTCTTAATGTCTTTTTAACCCCATAGAAATGTCCTGGCATATTTGTACACGTGTTTGCGGGATCCTCTGTCTCCTTCACAGTGCAGCAAAGGACAACACCATGACTACATTAAGCAGAACTGATTGCTCCCACATGTGCATCCATATACAACCCTCATTTCACTTTTACAGGTTCTATTATAGCATACAGTAATTGTATTATAGCTACAGTACATTTATACGGTAGATGCTTTAAACAAATCTATGGCAACTAGTTATACAACTACGTATCTCTCCAAATTGGTTTCTTCACTGTTATGTCACGGATGTAGTATTTGGATGCACCATGCATTGCCCCTGAGCACTTAAAGAAATGATGAGTAGGATTTTAAGTGCGCTGTTGTTACAAGTAAATGAATCTAATATAAAATTGGGGAGGTTGTATTTTCTCCCTGATTGATTTCATCTATGCCTAGGGCTTAAGAACAATGATAGTTGATGTCCTTCAAATCTATTTCGTTTTCTACTCAACCCCATTCCTCATTCGTTGACCTGCACAATGAGTGGCTTATTGGACAGTTTCTTCCAAATGTGTAGGTTGTCTCCATCAGGACACACCTATCTCACTATCATCCAGAGGGAGCCTAATAAATTGCATCCTTTTCTAGTTACCTAGAGAAAGCAACAGGAAACCAACTATCACCTTTATTATTATTAGTTTCTTCTTGTAACAAATTACTAGAACCTTTGTGATTTAAAACGATACAGATTTATTATCTTACAGATGGAGACAGCAGAAGTCCTAAGAAGTTTCCTGGCCTTCCCCAGCTTCCAGATGGATTCATCTTGAAGGTCAACAGCGTAGCACCTTCAAATCTTTCTGATCTCTGCTTCCCACCACCCCATGTCCTCCTCTGACCCTGACCTCCCCGCTGCCACTCCAGCCAGTAATCCAGGATAATCTCCTCAGATCGTTAATCACATCTGCAGGGTCTCTTTTGACATGCAGTGCAACATGCATAGAGATTATGGTGTGGTTATTTTGTGGATCATTATTTCATACAACACACCTGAAAAGGTAGGTATTGGACATAACCTGCAGACAGAGTTTCCAAATAATAAGAGATATAATTAAATTGGTTTACATGCTCTTTAGTTCTGAATAAGTACCCTATTTCCACTCCCTGCTCCTGGAGAAGTGGAGAACATCAACACAGTTTCACAAAGACAGGACATTTTCTGCTTTCAAATTAACCAATCCAGGAATTACTCCTGCAGGGAGTGAGCTGGGGACAGGTGCAGCAAGAAGCCAGGAATGGATGAGCTATTGAGAGGAGCGGAAGTGTTTCCTCAGAAACATGCATATTTGAATTCATCATTCCCCACCTGCATAGCCATCTCCTAAGGAATGTCCTTAGGTTAGCAGGGGTTGTCATCTAGTGACTCAGGTTCTTAGGGAGAACCCAGACTTATCTTTCTTTCCATCTTGATAAATGTTATCGCTAACACTGTGTTGAGTTGAACCCAGGGCCCTCGCACTGACTTAAAGCCTCAGAAATTTTTAATATTTCATTTTGAGATATAGGGTCTAAGTTGCTAAATTGGCCAGGGTTGGTGACGCAGAAATTCTAACTGCAGCGATTTAGTCCAAGTAGCCATTCTATTTTCTGCCGTTGAACTCGGCTAAATCACACAACTTCTTATCAAACTGAAATTTCTGCGAATGTGCTAAAAACAACTTAGCTTCATACAACTGTGCTCACGACAAGCTAACATCCACCGTTCTTGCTCTTCAACATCTCTCAACAGATATTTTATATACCGGATGAGCCGCATATTCTAAAAAGTATCTTTGCATACATTATTGCTTATTAGCTTCACAAGTCTCCGGCACAGGGAGGAGGGGCATTAGTCCCACTTCTCTTCAACTCTCCTCTCCATTTTTTTTCAGGACCAGGGTCTTAGATACACTAGGCAAGTGCTCTACCAGGCGTCGGTCCATCACACCTTGCTGCCTCGGCCTCCGCCAGCTCGAGTCCCAGTGCCTCTGGAGAGCCTCCCAGCACCTCGCACAACCTGCCGATCCGGCCGTGTCGGAGCGGACGAGGCCCCTGCTCTCTCCACCAGCGCGCGGGACCTTCCCATCCCTAACGACACGCTGCGGTGACGCAACACGGTGACGTGTGGCAAAGTGCTTACCCAAGCCAGGTGCCGGCCGGGGGTGGGGGCACACTCTGGGGTCCCTGCTGAGGAGGGCCCGCCGGCCGCGCAGGTGGGGAGAAGCCGCAGAACCGCCCGGAGGCGATCTCACAGCCCTAAACCGAGGGCTCCGCAGGGCCCCATTTTCGCTCCTAAGTGACGCCAGCGCGCAGAGGCGCGTGCGCGGTCACGACGGTGTGCGTAAAAGCGGACGCGCGCCGCGACGGCGGCGGCGGCGGCGGCGGCGGCGGCGAGGACGGCGGCAGCGGCCGAGGCGGAGGGGGCGGTGGCTACGAGGGGGTAGCGCAGCAAGCGGAAGAGGCCCCCGTGCCAGCGGCTAGCTCACCTCGGAACACCATTGGGGTGAGTAACCGGGCCTCGCCGGGGAGGAGAGGCCTGGCCGCACCTGCTGCGCGGGCCCGGGGCGCGGGGATGCGCGCTCTCTTCGACCCCGCGCGCGCCGCTCCACGCCCCTCCGCCGTTTTTTCTGGGGGCGGGGAAGGAGTGGGGACGGGGGCTGACGAGGGTCAATTCCGTGGCCCCCTGCGCCCTGGGAAGCGGCGGGGGGGATGGCGGGGGGACTGGAGGAGACTCGCAGTTCTCGAAGGTGTGTGTGTGTGTGTGTGTGTGTGTGTGTGTTGGTGTTTTAGGGTGGGTCGCCAGACTCCAAACGGACAAATTCCTGCCTGAGACGTGGTTGTCAGAGACCGACTAGAGGCGGACCCCAGAACCCCCGGTTGGGGCTCAAGGGACTCCGGGGGTCGTCAGAGCCCTAGCCCTGCCCAGGCACCGAGTAGGAGTCTGTTGTTATGGAGAGAGTTGTGAATCAGAGCCTGCGTGCGCGGCAGACACACCCACGACATGGGGAAGGCGACCTGTCAGGGTAGATGCGACCTGTTGCTGGGTTTCCGATCTCACGTGTATGTCCTTGTGCTTCCGAGTTATTTTATTGGTGTTACAGATTTTGAGGATAAGGGGCTGATACTCATCCTCACTCGTTAATCCCTCAGAAACTCAAATCTGCGGCCACATTTTGCAGAACCTTGTTCTATACTTTTGTCGTTGTTAGGGCCAAGAAAGTGTTGAAACATTTTTTCCTCCTAAAAAGCAGTATACACTTGGTATTTACTGACAGAAAATGTAGATTCTGGGCAGGTTGGGAAGCCGGAGTATAAACAAGAGAAGCAAATCCTGCACCCAGGGCTTTCTTAGTTGCGGTCCCGCTCCTGGGCAGGTGTTGCTGATTGTAGTTATCACTGGAAAGAGTCTGGAGTTGATGAGGACCAAGGCCATGCCTAGAACTGATAAAAAGACTATACTGAAACGTGATCATGCTTTGGGCAAGAAAATTTAGGAAAGTAACTTCAAAGTTTTCATCAAGGGGTGAAGTTTTCTGATTCAGTTCCATACCTAAGAATCTACAATGTATGCTTTGTGAGCGTATGTGTTGGAACCAGTGATCCCTGTAATTCTTAGAGTATGTAATTCAAAAAACTCAGAACTATAAACCCTTTTAGGACAGGAATTGCTTCCAATTTCTTCCTTGCCATATCTCCTAACGCCTGAAAATGTGCTTGCCACAGAGTAAGCACACAGTAGATATTTGTTATGTTTCATACTGGGAATAATTGATGTATCAGCATAAGCAAAGTATTCAGTTCAGTCCCTCACCTACTTAATATGTGCCTTCTCCAGCGTTACACTAGACGTGTGATTGTGATTTTACAAATAACATAGACGACTTGGCTGTTTTTTGTTTTTTTTTTGTGTGTGTGTGTTTGTGTGTATTTAGTACAGGATCTACAGGGTCTCACTACACAGATTGGACTTGTAGTGATCCTTACTGTTTTTCAGCCTCCCAAGTGCTGGGATTACAGGCATGCACCACCACGCCCACTCTCAATTTCTGTCTCAGTGCGCCCCCCCGGGCAGGCCGGCCCAGCAGGCTGGGATCTAACGCTGGCGCCTGCCTCTGCCTGAGCAGGTGCTTTAATCCACTGAGCTATCTGGCCGGCCCTTGGCTGTTTTCATTTAGAAGCAGATTAGCCAGGAGAAGAAAAA